CTACTCTTACATCGATGGTGCACGTGGTCGCTCCCATCTTTATTGCTTACTACAACTCCCTCTGTGATTTGCTAAAAGTATGCTGCGCGTGCTACGGTCAGCTTAGTCAGGCTGGCTGTATGCTTGCAAAGTCCTTCGTGCAGCTTTGTGAGCGAGGGTTCTGTTCGCCTTCGGAGAAATCGCAGGACAACTCTGCTCAGAAAGGGGATATGGAAAGTGGAACTGGTCTCGGCGACGGCGAGGGTGCGGAGGACATCAGCAAGGACATCGGAGATGACGAAGATATATCAGAATTGGCCCAGAGTGGACAGCAGGACTCGAAGTCGGATATAGAGGACGAGAAAGATGCGGTGGATATGGCGGATGAGGATCTCGAGGGCGAGCTTGGTGAAGGCCCGACCGAAACGGGCAGCGTGGTTGACGAGGGAGAGGATAACGAAGGAGACCAAGATGTAGACGAGCAGGCCGCTGACGAAGATATCGGCCCTGGCGCCGTTGACGAGAAGATGTGGGATGAACCCAACACGGACGATCGCAACCAGAAGGAAGCAGACAGTGGGAAAGGGAAAGTGGCTCAGGACGATAACACTGCTGCCACCGAGCAGGGACAAGAAAGCCCCAGCCCAAATCAAGACGATAACATGCCGGACGCTGGACAGAACGAAGCAACGCTTGACGACGAAACCGGTCCAGAGCAACAGCCCACCGATCAGCTAGATCCCCACGCAGGTGAAGAGCAGAATCTCGAGCTGCCAGACGACATCGTCATGGACGGCAACAAGGATGCGGACCCGGATGATTCAGATCTTGATTCCGTTGGTACTGAGGAAGGACAGGAGGAAGAGCCGTCTGCTGTGGAGTTGAACAACCGGGACCAGATCGAAGGCGATGAAGATGACCTCAACAGTGAAGACATAGAGCAAGAACCTGAGGATAATGGGCAAGCTGATGACGCGGCACAAGAAGAACCTGCGGAAGAGGACGGCGAGAACGATGATCTATTAATGCAAGAGCGGCCTCTTTCCACGGAGCCTCTGGACGATGATGTGACTGGTGCTGAAGAGGGCTCTGGTGGTGAGAAGGCCGATGCAGCCAAACCGAGACCTGGAACTACGCAAGATATGGAAGATGCTGTAGAAGAGCCGCAAGATGCAGACAACGACGCATCTGGTCCTGGTGCAGGAGCAACAGAAGGCGCTCGCGAAAAAGCCAATGATATCCCGGACGATACTCCTGACGATCGGTTGAGGTCCAGCTTCAAACAGCTCGGCGACATCATGGAGCATTGGTTCGATCAACACCGCGATATAGAAGCTGCTCCACCTTCTGGCGGCCAGACCGACAATGAGCAGCCAGACCTCTCTGCATCACGGTTTGAGCATCTGCCGGACGAGGGTATGGAGGCAGATGCCCAAGCTCTTGGTACAGCCCCGATGGATCAGTCTGCGCCTCTCAACAGGGAGAACGCGGTGCCGGCAGACGAGCAAGAGCAGCACACCCGAGACCACGATCGGTTCCTCGATGACCTCGACGAGGAAGTGGAGCAGACACCACAGGATGGAGCAGCAGAGAGAAACCGTGACACTGCCGCCCTAGAAACCGGACAACCAACCTCGCTTGTAGGCGATTCCAACCGGATGGACACGGATATTGTCATGGCTGACGATGTCACCATTGAGGACTCAGACGAAGTAGAGGACATGGACGAGAAGCTTACCAATACCCATCTCTCGCCCGAGGATGTCGGCGTTGAGCTGCCCCTGGAAGACGCTCAGAGGCTGTGGGCGAAGCACGAAGACAGCACCAGGAATCTTGCTCTTGTGCTTACCGAACACCTTCGCCTCATTTTGCACCCTACGCAAGCCACCAGGATGCGTGGCGACTTCCGGACTGGCAAGAGACTAAATATCAAGAGAATCATCCCCTATATCGCATCGTCGTACAAGCGAGACAAGATCTGGATGCGCCGGTCAGTGCCTACCAAGCGCTCTTATCAGGTCATGCTCGCGATCGACGATTCAAAGTCCATGGCCGAGAGCGATTCCCAAGAGTTAGCATTCATGACGCTCGCGCTCATTGCAAAGAGTATGTCCATGCTCGAGGTTGGCGAGCTAAGTGTAGTTGGGTTCGGAGAGCAAGTCAAGGTCGCACACGACTTCAGCACGCCTTTTACATCGGATGCTGGCTCGCGCATACTCCAGCAGTTCACGTTTTCGCAGAGCAAGACGAACGTGCAACGGCTGCTCACGGAGTCCATCGAAATGTTCCGCGCAGCACGACTCAAGGCTGCTGGATCTGCCAGTGATCTTTGGCAGCTTCAATTGATCATCTCGGACGGTATCTGCGAAGATCATCCTGCGATCCGCCAGCTGATTCGTCAAGCTCATGAGGAGCGGATCATGGTCGTGTTCATCGTCGTGGACCCAGCTACACTGTCACCGGGCGTTGCAAGCGGAACCAAGCAGAGCATACTAGACCTTCAGACCGCCGAGTTCGTCAAAGATGCGATGGGCGAGATGCAGCTGAAGATGAACAAATACCTTGACACCTTCCCATTCCGGTACTACTTGATAGTACGGGATCTGCAAGATCTGCCTGGTGTGCTCGCGGGAGCCTTGAGGCAGTGGTTCTCGGAGACGGTAGATTCAGGTACTTGAGCATGTAGAAAGTGTAGAAACAACGTGTATAGCTGTATGATAATTTAATCACTCGCAGTGTACTGACTTCTTCGCAACCGCTCGCCGTATTTGTCCAGCAGGAATGGGACTGGTACAAGTGTTGTGGCGATGAAGCCTGAGCTCAGAAGAGAAAGGGTTAGCACGACCTCACACATATTCTCATTCATCGTTGATTTACCTAATAGTGATGTGGCCCATCCTGCACCAAGCCCTTCGTACATCTGTACCACGAAACTGTTGTTGCCGAATTAGAAAATGTCGCCGTCAGTGGAAGTGGAGACCAGAAGGTCTCTGCCGTGTAGACAGCTACACCGCTGCTGTGATACCTACAGTGGGAACGTGAAAGCAGCCAGGTATCGGAGAAATGTACAGCTGCTCCAGGCTGAAGCAGAGTATTGGGCTCCGTAGACATCAGGGAAGTAGAGAGCCGTAGCGGTGAAGATGAGCAGATTACCACAGCTGAAAAACCCTTCTGCGATCACCGGCGAGATCCAGTGTACGTCAGGCTTTGCCGTCCATGCGAACCAGAAGAGCCTGCTCACTTGTTAGCAGAATCTGCAGAATGTCTTCGACAGGCGACGACCTACGATATTGGAAACATTGGTGCCCCGATCTTGGCTATGATCAGCCTCTCCTCGGGTGCCATATTGGCAGTGCTATCGCCTTCTTTCGCGGTTCTAGACTTTTTGGCCCAGTAGAACTTGTAGATGTATAGAACGATCAGAAGGCCAACAATGCTTCCAACAGCTTGTCCGAGGTACGTTAGACCTGTAGAGCCGATTCCGAAGCCGTAGACGTTCTCGAAGCTGGTGGAAGAGCATTAGCATATCAGCTCATTAAGGAATGACCCGCCTGGACTTACACCCAGGAGAACGCAGCAAAGAAAGCGTTCAGCAGTCCGAAGTTGAAAGCGTTATAGATATCGAACAAGGCAACGATTGGTTCGGTGAACATCATGGAGATCGGTCGTGAGATTGTCTTGGTGACAAAATGCTTCAAGTTCTGCGATGCTGACGTCTTGAATTCGGGAGGAGGTTCGATTCCCAGTTTCTTCGCACGACGCTTGAGCAAGACTGACTTATAAGACTCGGACATAGGGACAGTCAGAATGAAGGCGAACGCCAGGCCGAATGAGATGACCCATTGGGTCCATCGCCAGGACTTCGCTTCGGTCACGTAACCACCAACAATCGGTCCGAAGACTGGGCCCATCTGGACCATCGTAATAAAGATGGCAACGGGCCCGCCTCGCTTTTCTGGAACCAGGAAGTCTGAGACCATGGCCGTGCCGATGCTCAAGCCCGGGCTTGCGAAAAGGCCAGCGAAGAAACGGCATATGACCAAGGAAGTGATGTTTTGTGAGAAGCCTGCTCCCAGGGTGAATACAGCTAGACCTGGCAAGGCGCAGATATATACCGCTTTTCTGCCGAAGGTCTCGCTGGATGGACCGGCTATGATGGGTCCGAAGGACAGGCCGAGGAGGTAAAAGACGAACGGAAGAAGTGCAATTTCTCGAGAGACGTGGAACTCCGCCATGACTTGTGGTATACCTGGAGTGTAGACTGATGATCCGAAAGGGCTGCGAACAAGCAGGAAGTTAGACTCTGTTTGTACAGTCGAGTAAATTGGATCTTACCACAAAAATGCTATCGCGGTCGGTATAGCACAATGGTAGAATTTCTTCCGTCCCGACCAGTTCCTCGGGTTTCCCTTGTACTTGTTAGCATTGTATGACATTCGCTGACATCGGTGGAGATGGAATACGGAATCGTCCGGTCCATCCCAATCCTTGACCTCTGTTCGCTGCTCCGCAGTCTCCAGATCACTTGGGTTGCCCATATTCGGTCAAACCACCAGTTGAGTGTTCGGGAGTTCCAGGACTTGATTTACGGTATCTCAACTTATACGACAGACTCCCACGCCCTGTCATGATGGGACCTGCTCGTTATAGGTGCGACGAAGTTGGAAAAACCACTTTCGGGAATAGTGCCGCCGAGTTCGTCTAATCGGCAAGGACGGCACGTCACCGTCAGATCGTCCCGTATCCATATATCTCGGCCTTGAGTGTCGGCCTTGGAGAACGATATAGGAAACTATATATCCGAGATGGATGAGTTCGGGTTACCTTAGAAAAGTCTGGGACTACGACAATGGAGAGGTTCTACGTTGGCCATATGGCGTTCTGGTCGACTCATCATTGTCGCGGATCGCGTAGATAGACCGGTGGACATGTTCGTTCTCGTTGGTGGTCCTACTCGGAACTCAGGCTACATGAAAAAATGGCAAAAGGGAAATATCATCTCCATATCCGTAGATACAAGATACTCGGACGGGGTATCGAACCCCGGACCTCTTGCGTGTGAGGCAAGCTGTGATTTGAAGATCAGCGGCTGCCACCGGTTAGGAAGGAAAGTAACCCTTACCGTCATACCGCTAGACCATCCGAGCGAGCTCAATTTTACATGAGTAATTCTGAGCATGATCGTTGTGTCGGTAAATATAGCTTTGCATTTATGCTCAGGTATGCCGAGACGATCGTGTAGGGCGTTTTTCCATCTTCACTTCATCTTCACTCGATGTCCGTGCGTTACAACCTTACTTCTACCTCACCTGTTGGCAGTATCAATCTACCACCATGCCAAGGCCACGAGCTAGTTCACATATCATATCGAAACGATGTCATTCCATCCTAAACTCTCAAGGGTATCTAAACAAGATCACTCTCCGTCCTCCCCAAATGCACCCGACCCACCAGCGCCGAACATCGAACCATAACGCACAGTTACCTCCCAGGAGGATACCCGGACGGCTGACCAGCCCCATACGCGCCGCCATACGGCTGGTAGCCCTGCTCCACCCTCCCAGTCCCACCGAAGACGTCCCACTCCGGCTCGGGCGGCGGACCTTGCTGTTCCGCACTCATCCTGAAAGCCGGATGCAGCCCACCCGCAATTCCTTGAGCCCCCGCACCCGCTCCAGCAGCCGCAGGAGCCGAGCTCGCAGGGCCGTAGCCAGGGTGGTAAGGTCGTGATGACGAGACATCGTCTTCGTCTGACGAGCGGAAGCCGGAGGACTTCATGTCGCCGTACTCGTAACCACCACCACCAGTCGCGGTACCGGGAGCAGGCCGTCGTGGCGGGAGCCGCGGTTTATGCTGTGTAGGGTTCGCCCTCGGGTACGAGTTGGCAGGTGGGGCGTACTCATCCTCGCTATACGTCCGATAAGGACTCGCACTCGGCATCCGCCCCATCCTTGCCTCATGCCCTAGCAAGCCCGCCCGATCATCCTCCGCCAACGTCCCGCTCCTCCCTCTCCCCACGTCACTCGCCATCCCACCCCTCAGCTCTGTCGCCGCCTCCCCAGTCCCAGCATAAGTCGGTCCGCGATAATCCATCGCGACATCTATTCCACCACTCTTAGCAGCAGTCTGGTAGCTCATGTCGTCATGCCTCTTCCTGATTCCCACGAACAGCCACCTAAGCCCTCGCGCAGTCATTTTGACGATATCCCAGGGGTTGAACGCATCTGCCAGGGCGTAGAGTACACCCTTGTACTTCATCTCGCCAGATTCACCACCGCTGTATCCCGTCCCAGGGACGTTGAGAGGGTCCTTGTAGGAGTGCTTGAGCGAGTAAGGTTTCCAGGGAAAGGCGAAGATATGCATGACAGCGAATATGGCCATCTCGATGCAGAGTAGGACGCTGGGGATGCCGACTTTGATGTCCGGGTAGGCCAGGGTTTTAGTTGGTTGAAGAGGGCCATTCGTTGAGGAGAGGAAAGATATCACGATCTGAGCTTTCGTTAGCATGTGTTCATGAACGGTAGGGTGGAAACATCGGCGTACCCTCTGCCAAAATGAAAAGAAGATAACCAGCTTGATACACAGAACCTTGAGGAATGGTTTGTGCTCTGCCAGATCGCCCTTCAGCTGGATGTAGAACTGGATCAAGCAGAACATCGCAATCGTAACCGACGCTGCTTCAAAGACCTGCACCCAGATATGCGCGAAAGCCGGCGACAGGCTAGACTCGCAGTACACATTGAACAGTTGTGTGATCACCGCAACAATCGTGAACAGCACTCGGATGAGGCAGTACTGGAACACACCAATCCATATCACCTACACCACTTGCATTAGCACACCGACCCTGCCCATTACGGAGAACGATATACTCACATTAAACCAAGTCAACCCACTCCTCGGCTTCCGAAACGGCCCCTTATTCTGCCCGCCGGTACACAACTGCAAACCAAAAACTCCCCAAAACCAATTCACCGGCACAAGAGTCCTGAAATAATCCTTCTGATCATGCAAATTCGGCGCAATATAATGACACAACAGCGTGAAGAAACTGCTTATCGCGAACGCCTCATAACATCCCTCCAGAATATCGTAATAGATCGCGTGCTGGTACTCCAGATAGCTCAGGAAGCTGACCACGCTGTATATGGGTATGAGCAACAGTATCCGGATGATGTGTCGCTGCTCGTAGGGTTTAAGGTAGTGTGTCGCGTGCAGGAAGATGAGGGTGAGGCCGATCAATGTGGCTACGCCTCCGAAAACCGCGCTCAAAAAGAGGCCGAAGTGGTGAAAGGTGAAGCCGCGCCAGAGGGGGACCTCGACGATGTCGCGCTCGGTGCGGCCATCGTGGCAGACGGGCATGGTGTCGGGCTATGTGAGTGAGTCGCGCGGGCTGCCTGCCCGGGTGGGAGTGGAGTGCGCTTCGAGTGCGCGCTGTACGATCTCTCCGCCCAGGTATTCAATTCGCAGCTTGGAGATGCTTGTCCCGCTCTTGACCTTCGCGCTCGCTCTTGTATGTCTCGGCGAATGCTTAACGACTCCTGCCAAGGTCAGTCAGCGTTGGTTCGCGGCTGGCGTCAGCGGACGGCGCTTCTCCACAACGTTGCAGATCGCCATCTGGCGCTAGTGTTTCGTGTCGAACAACTTCCCGAGTTTTAAAAATTGAGATCGTCGTGCGGCCCACGAGACAGATCGCAGTATACAGTAGTAGGTATGAGACTACCAGAGGGCAGATGGGCGGAGACGTGCGGATACGTGACGACGAGAAACACAGTCGATCAATCATAACTCATCACTGCAAGCAAACACCGCTAAACACAACCCTATTTATGTAGCACGACAACACCAGTCTGAAGCCTAACCATATAGCCACCTCTGACGCTTGATCTAGTATTCCGATCATAGAACTCTCACATCGCCATCCTCATCAACCCCTCCGGAGCAACACCGACCCTCTCCTTCGCGAGAAGATCCACCAGCAACGGACTCGGCTTGTTGTCCCTGCCACCACCCCTCAACGTATCCTGCGTCTCCTTGTACGCCTTCACCGACTTCAGGTACCCATCGAACAGGTAGCTCGAATCCAGCGGCCCACCCTTGGCTTCGGGGTGGAACTGCGTAGAGAAGATTGGGCGAGACTTGTGGATCAGACCTTCGTTGCTGCCATCATTGAGATTCGTGAAGTACTCCTTGAACTCCTTCGGGAGCGTCGCAGGGTCGACTGCGTAGCCATGGTTCTGCGAGGTGATGTGGCACTTGCCGGTGTTTAGATCGAGGGCTGGGATGTTGTGCGCGCGGTTGCCGTACTTCATCTTCGTGGTCTTGGCTCCGACGGCGAGGGCAACGAGTTGATGACCTAAGCAGATGCCCATGATCGGGATCTGGCTCGAGTCCATCAGTGCGCGGAGGTTGTCAGAGGTAGCACGGCAGTGCGTGGGGTCGCCAGGACCGTTGGAGATGAAGACCCCGTCGAAGTGGTGCGCCGTCTTGTGGATCGGGTAGTCGAATGGTAGGCAAGTGACACTGGCTCCACGGGAAACAATGCTGCGGATGATGTTCTCCTTAACACCACAGTCGATAAGAGCGATGTGGGCATTGCCGTGCGGCGAAGGTACGTGAAAGGGCGCCTTGGTCGACACCTTCTTAACGAGATTGATGCTGGCGGGATCTTCGTATGCTTCGTCTTCATCGGCGTCGTACTCCTCGCCAACCGTGATCTTGCCGAGGGACGAGCCTTGCTCCCGGAGATGCGTGACAATGGCACGAGTATCGACACCAGAGATAGCCGGGATGCCCTCTCGAGCACACCACTCAGCCAAGCTCTCCACTGCCGTCCAATGCGAGTATTGCAATGCCACATCTGCCACCACCACTCCACAAGCCTGGATATTTGGGCTCTCGAAGTACTTCAGCAGCCCATATTCGTCCCTCGCTGCTGATGGTACGCCGTAGTTGCCAATCAGTGGCTGCGTGAAGACCAGGATCTGACCACGGTAGGACGGGTCGGTCATGGACTCTGGGTATCCCACCAGAGATGTCGTGAACACAGCTTCACCGCTGATGTTCGCCTTAGCACCAAAGCTCTTGCCATGGAAGATTGGCCCATCCTTGATCGTGAACGTTGCAGGTTCGAAGGCCGGCTTGGTTGCGCGTATGGGTCGCGGTGGTGGTGAACGTGGTGTGCCGCTGACAACACTGGCCCTGAAGCGGACTTGAGTAGTAGGCTTGAACGCACGTGCAATGAAGCTCGATGTTGGCTTCAGCACCGTTGGGGTGATTCGTGTGAAAGTCATGGTAGTCATGTTTCGAAGATTGTAGTTGTCCTTGTTATCTCAAGGACGGTCGTTCAATTTGCAGACGCCTTCCAAAGGTGGTCGGAAATGTAGTCTGGGGAAGGCACGCTGTCAGCCATTGCCTTCACGCATGCGTAAGAGCACAGGTGAGAGTGACAGGTGATCAAGCAGTAGATAGGGCGCGGTGGCTCCTATCTCTACACGGCTGTTTGCAGTGCATTGGGCAGGCGGTGTGCGTCATACCTTGCGAAGTGAAGATTGTGGGAGCAGTCATGAAGCCTTCGGTATGCGGCTTAGGCCAATGGCAAGAGTTTCAACCTCTACGTGTGCATGGGGAGCACTGTCGTCGTGTGGAACAGTGTCGTCGGTGAAGTCGTTACTAAAAGGATTGTAAAGAGGTTGTTGCTCGACAGAGATAGCAAAGGAAAAATCGGTCTGTGCAAAAGCTTCGCCTAGATCGGCGAGATAGAGAGCGCGTTGTGATTGGCTGGAAATCACGTTTTATTGACTTCACGTGTCAATCGGGTCAAACACATGGGATGAACGCGCGAGCACGCTTTATAGAATGCTCCTAGCAGAGCTGAGAAATATGACTTCGACCTGAATAACGATCGCAGACTGTTTTCTCCTTGCTTCAAACGATGCCGCCAACGACACACCAAGCGTCATGTGAGCTCGGTGTCGTGAACAGAGCTCGGAGAGCAATCCAACCCAGCTGTCAGTCAGTAGTTCCCCATCGTACGTTGGTGAGTGTTTTCATGTAGATCAGCAGGCCTTGGGCTACCTTTGAGAGCATCTCGGCCATACTCACGAGCGATCCCTCTGAATGTACGGACCTCAACAGTGTTCTTGGA